GATTTACACCTCCCACACACGAGCTGGGGAGCTGCAGGAAAGGCAGTAAGCACTGAGTAGCCTCGTGTTAACACTTCACCTCACTGACACCTGCTCCAGTCCCGGCTCTCCAGGACCAGGTGCTCCTGCTGCTCTGAGGCAGACACCAGAAAGCTGGCAGCCCAACTCCCCTGTACTGCAAACCCCACCCCACAGATGTGACAGGAGTGTTCACACTGTGGGTGCAAGTATTTCGTAACAAATAGTAAACCAAATATATGTGTCATTTTTAGCAAGGGTGATTACACAAATTACTGATGTAAGATGAGCTACTTAAATGTATGTCAGCTATAGAATAAAGGCCCATCCATTTGTTCCACTCTTCATCAGTGGAACAGTATCAGTATCATAATTCTGAAGCAAGACAAGACGTGGTTCCACCCTCTCAAGAAAAACTCATACACAAAAGGAGGATGCACTCTCCCAAAAGCAGGAGGAAGAAGCAACAGCCACTTCAGTTCATTTACCTTTCTAGAGGAATGTCCATTATTAAAAACTAAATTTGGTAGTGCAGGACTTTCCACACTCTAACTACAGGGGGTAGGATTATATATATATATATATATGTATGTGTGTACATATATATATATATATGCATATAACAGCAATGATGAGGAGAACCTTTTCCCAAGTCTGTGTTTCCTAGCACTAACGATTCAAAATGTCATCTGAAGCACCTCTGTTTCACATTGGCTCATTCTTTAATTGTGTCAGTATAACACTCACACAATTACAAATTATAATGAACAAGTCCCACTCTGAAATCTGAGCCCTAAAGGCTACATATGTTATCCAAATATATAACCAAATGCTAAGCACACTGGGATTCTTTCAACCACAAATTTAAGTAATTATGACTATTCCTAATGTTGCAACAGAAATATCATGTTCAACTAATTATAGCTCAGAACACTTTTCTACTACATATTCTGCCATTTTTCAAAGTCACCCAATTTTCATCCCCTTAAGCAAAAGACTTCATCTAAATTTCTTACCTCTATTAGCACAATCTTTACTATTAAACCATTTGTGTAAGTTAGTTTTTGACTGACTCTAATCTTCTGACTGACAGAATTATAGGCATAATGTGTTTTCTCAGGGGATTTTCCTACTTAGAGAATCAGTCTGCAAATTTCTCACTCTCTGAATTATAGCCCATGATTTAATGTCATCCTTTTCCGCATCCTCAAAACCACGAGGGAGACCCTATTTCCACAGGTGGCTCCCCATGGCTCTTTGCCAACAAAAGTGCTTATGACAGTGAATTACACTCTTCAGAAACCTTACTAATTTTTGTAGCTAAATTAGACTTTGCTTTGTCACTACTGCCTGCAAACAGTCAGAGATGGGGACATGCCTGGGTGTTCCTATTTACATAAACAGGCTCTAAGCAAGATACCTGCAACCCAGATAAAATCTGGCAAGACTAGCTTTAATATGTCATAGGGATATATTTGCATCAGGTAGTGTGTGCCACATCAGACAGTTTTAATGAAAAAGGCAGAGGAAAGAGGCATCTACAGCACATACATCTCCCCTTCCCATCCACCAGTAAACACATGATTTGTTGTAAGAACACAGACAACAGAAGCTCCTCAGTAAGGGCAAGCAAAGAGAAGGTTCACAGCAGATCTACAGAGAGGGCCTGCAGGGAGCAGAGCATCAGGGAAGCGTGAGGTCAGGCTTACAACACACCCTTGGCTCTGCCTAGCTCTAGGTCATCTCTTACACCTTGGTGACACCACAGCACTACAGGCACTGGTCCTTAGTGGTTTCCCCTACAGCACAAAGGCTGAAAAGAAGCCTTTCCCCCAGGGCATCCCCACAAAGCTCCTGGCAGATGTAGACACAGGTGAGATTGGCTCAGCTGGATGGAGCATGGTGCTAATACTGCCAGGGCTCTGGGTGCAATCCCTCTACGGGCCATTCACTTCAAGTTGGACTCAATGAACCTTGTGATCCCTTTCAACTCAGAATATTCCATGATTCTGTGAAGAGCTAAACTCAGGTTATAATTGTGGATATGGCCTTGCCTTTAATTTGTCAGAAGCTTCAGCAATCAGGTAATAAAACAATACAGAGCCAAGTTAACACTCAAGTACAAGTGATTCACAGTACAACTTCACCAAGTTTAAGGACCAAAAAAGTTTCTTCCCCTTGAAGGAAGGCCCACTGCCATGGAGAAGACACAGTAGAACACACAGCAATGATGGCTAAAGAGCAGTAAATTACAGTTCATATTAATACATGTGGCAAACCTAGGTAAAAAGGAGTAGAAGAAATGCATATTCCCTATATATGCATATAATAGATATTCCCTATACTGAAAACAGCCTTATCCAGTAATGCAGATGGGATGATGATTTACTTTTCCAATCACCCCTACATAAGACCTCAGGGTATGCAAAACGGCCTTTACACAAAGTTCTGTTTGATGAAATCAGAATGATGAATTCTTTTTATGCTATAAAATGCTGTTAAGATATAGCTGTAGTAATAACTTCAAAAAATATCAAAGTCTTCAACTGACCATGTTATACATAGAAGAGAAAGGTAAAATATTTATTCTATGGTTAGATGAAAAAATGTTCTTTTATAATAAACACAAAGACTAGTCGCTCAGTGCCTGGCATTCTTTGTGAATATTTCCTGGAATTACTGGTGTCAGTGTCAAGCCAGTGCAGCTATAGGTGTGTTTCAATATTTGAATGTAGAAAAGGAGAAGCATTTTTGAATTTAAATTTGTCTTGGATATTTTTGGCATGAATTTTTAAAAACCAAGGATCATGGACCATGTCAGGATAAGAGCATTATAGGGAAAGGAAGAGAGATTTGAGGATTTTGCCAGATTAAAATGTTCAGTATCTTGTGTCTTGCACTCCTAACACTTACTCCAAATCTTAACTTCCAGGTAAATATTCATAAATGCATTCACCACAGGTCTGGCAATGTTGTTATGAATTTTGGAGGCCCCAGATATGTCCTTTCCTAGTAGACTCTCTAAACAACAATAAAAACAATAAAATAGCAAGAATTGACACTTTTAGTACAACATCACATGGTTCCAGCAATCATAGGAGGGTGAATGCCATTCTGCACCTATAGTTTTCAGAATGCTTTCTCACTTGTAGGCTACATGGGTCATAGGGCATATAAAGCAACATGCAACCTTTTTTTCAGTATTTTCAATCTTATTTTTCAGTGTTTGAATAAAGAACCATTATTTTCCAACTTACTTGGAGATTATCAACACATCTCAGACATCCACAATAACCAAAAATCCCATCCATATAGAGGAGCTCAAATAATGTTCTGAATAACTCCCTGTTATTTAAAAAAAAAAAAGACATTTCTTAGTACACATTTTTCAGGTCCTCTAGATATGTAAACAATGAAATCCTGCACTTTGCAGACTAAAGGGGAAGTGTCACCATTATGTTACATAACAACATAAATAAGGGGGAACATCCATCCAGGTCAAAAAGGGCACTAGCCCAGGAGCAAAGAAAATTCCTCCTCCAGCATAACAAGTCTGGGCAATTGCCATCTATAAATATATCTATAAATAGGAAAGGAAAGAGTACATAATGAGTTTCCATAGAAAAAACCTAAACACTGTCCAGCACCACAACAGTGAACATGACAAAATCAAGTTTAACTTTTAACAAGTTAAATGTTCTAGGACAATGTAAGTCTTCAGACACATGAGACTTAAAACCAAGATTGATGTGATGTAAATGTTATGTAATTCCAGCTCCCCATAATACCAGGGGTGTTTGCACAATTCCTTCTGAGGTACCTGGTGAGGTACCTGGTGCTGACTACAGCACTGAACTAGAGTCTGATCCAGCCTCAGAGTTTCTGAGTCTCTTTGACACAGAATAAGGTAGAACTAAAAATACAATAAAAAGCAAACAATGCAGAGACATTCCTGGTGATCCATTGCAAAGACAGTTTTTTAAAGAAAGAGATTTTCGAGATTTTTCCTTTTTTTTTTTTTTTTTTTTTTTTAACCAGGGTGGCAGAATAAATCTACTTGGTACTTTTTTCACATTATAATTGAATTCCCAATCATGGAAAACAGACAAATTCCCTCTTTCTGTTTTCTCCTGGAGTTTTCTGCAGCAGTCAGTACCTTTGTTGAGCAGAAGTCGGCTGGAACCAAGAAAACAGGAGCTAACCTGCTGCTGCTCTCATCCGGGTGTCCAAAGAACAAGGATTTGTTGCAGTCATTGCTTTGCCACCTGCCTGAGGCATTCAACTGTATCTAGCACAATGACGCTGGAAATCATTCAGGAGTAAATACACAATAACATTTGTATGTTTACAGCATCTGTGAAAGGTGTGGGTAGGGTGATTTCTCTACTGTGTGTTTCCAGAGCAAGTGAAACCCATTAATTAAATTCATGCTCTTGTCCTGCTTCAAAAGTAAAAACAGAGATGATTTATGGGCACTGACAGCTGCAGGAACTGGTTTTGCTCACTCCCTCTCATTAATTAATTTTGAAGCATCTGGAAAGGTTGATTTCTCAGATTCTAAGCATTCAAAAGGCTGCACATCCTCAGTTTCTGCAAAGAAAGAAAAATGCCAGTTTCACGCAAAGAACTGTCTGTCATGGTTTCTCAGTGCTGGCTGAATAGTGTCTACTGAAATTGTGTACCTCAACAGCCCTGTGCCTGCCCAGGCAACAAAGCTGTAAGAGATGCCAATCACAAAAAACATTTCTTATCCAGTAATTAATTTGTCCTATCAACAAAATCTCTAAAATGAGAAAGTGGCACTTGTAGAACAGTGTAATCTACAAAACAAAACAAAAAATTTTCTCTAATAACAGACCCAGGGAAATTGCCACAAACTCTCCCTTCTAGAGGGAATATCAATGTCTCTATATTGCACATAATGATATATGCAAATATAAATATATACAGCAATACACCAGTGTGTTTATTTCTTCTTCTAGGTTCCTTAAACAGGAGGCAGATTGCTAGCATTTGGGGCTGAAAGCTGGAGGTAAGCAATCAGAAGACATTTAACATGCAAGATAGGAACAGGAAATTGTTACAGAAGTGGAAAATTTTGGGTATTGAACTTTCACCCTCAGCTCCTGCGAGATTTTTGCTAATAAAGAACTATATAAACATAGACAGATTATATTGCATTACCTGCCCAGCAGAGCCATATGCTGCTTCTGCAGACATGGCCAAAAAGATCAAAGCTTCCTGTGCATTAATGAGCTAAACTTGGGTGTTGTATGTTTCATATCATGCTGTAGACGTATATTGACCTATATTGACAGAGTGAAGGGCTGGGCCAGAACTCTGGATCTGTCTTTCAATCAATTATTTTATGATTCTGTACAACACTTTGTAAAACATAAGGCAAATTTATTTTGTTGTGATTCATGGCCAGACAGCAGAAAGCCTGCCAGGAACAAGGATACTGCCATCTAAAGCAGCTCACGATCACTAGTTACCAGGAAGAAATAAAAAGTATCCAGCATGGTCTATAAAAGTGGTGGAGCAAACAGAACGTAAAACTCTTTCTGCCAGTGACCCAAGGGGCCTCACTAACAGCTGACTGTGACTAAGAACCTCTACCTAGGCATGAATGGGCACATGATACTGGGTTACAGAATCAGCAGACAGCACCATCCCACGGTGCCTTAGCTAATAGAGAGAGAGTAATTCTCCAGAAAACTCTTGTACAACTGGCAAGACCACAGAGCTCTTTCAAATAGCCTATTTTCAGTTGTGAATCAAGATCTTTCCTTTTGTCAGCTCTTTTTGCCAATCAGGAAACAACCTGTGCCTTTTGAGTTACTGATGAGGTGCTTCACGACGCAAGGAGATCTGTCAGATTTCAGATTGTTAAACAGTGTTCATTAAATGCTAACTGGTGCATAGCATCTTACCTGCTCACATTCTTCATGTTGTTGGTGACAAGTTTGATATTTACAAGGAGCAATGTGATGACAGAATTCAAGAGCTGACATACTGATATATTTAAAAAATTAAATTCAAGAAAGTTTAACAGAATAAATAATCTCAACATGTTTATAATTCATATGTACTTTTTGTAAAGAAAACTGTCTATTCCCTTCTCTTCCTCAATTCCTTCAGTGAACCAAGACCCAAGACAACTACAGTTACCTGTATTTCCTTCTTCTCATCCCTACAGAGTCTAAGAGAGAAGTGTGCAGTTTGACAGTCAGAAGATTATTTCTTCACTCCAAGCATTCATAGAAACAATTCAGGATTTTCAAATTCGGCTTGGATTTCACAAAACTGCTCCTTTTCCTAAACTTAGAACAGAATCTTAAAGGCTTTGAATCCACTCCTAGCAAGGTTAATTAGAGTTTTACCATCAAAATGCAGTGAGAGAACCTTAATACAACCATATGTAAACAATCCATGTGTAAACACATGGGCACAATCACAAAGAATGCATGGAAATCAGCAGTTTGTTCCACTGAAAATTAAATTGCAATGAAGAATTGAACTTATCAAAAAGAACTCCCAAAAAAGTTATTGAACAACAGACTTTGCAGCAGAGAAAATATTTGAATGGTACAAAAAGCACAAGGTTGTTAGAGAAGGGGAGGAAACTATGAAGGAAATGCAAACCTCAGGACATTAGAATTAAATGGGCAATTAAAATCACTATTGATAGCTAAGCATTTGGTGAAACTCTAGGGGATAGCATGGAATTCTAACACTTTTTATTAACAAAGGAAAACGCCTAGTGTCTACAACCAGGTGATCTTCAGCTCAGCTTGGAAGGCCAAGTTATGATTTCCAGAAAGAAAGAGTTAAGCCCTGTGTTGTTTGATAAACTACATTAGTTCTCTTTGATCCTTAGGGTGAGGGAAACTTTTCTTAAGAAAATTGCTCATTGACTTCACTCACTGTGTAAAGAGAGGCTGTGTGTGGTGCTTGAAAGCTTCACGGGGGGAGCTCCTAATGGAGCACAACCACAGGTGGATCACAGTGACAACTGTCCAGCCTGCTCAGAGAATGCAGCATCCCATGCACCTTTCCAGTGGAGGACAAACACAACTTTTAAAACCAAAAGCCTAGAAAGAGATTCAAGAGCAGCAAAAGAAGGTGCTCAAATAACTGTGTCAAAAAGGTTCATTTTGTTCAGCACGAAACACACCCAGGATCTGAAGCATACCTATGGTCTATGTCAAAGCAGGTTTAGATAATTTCATTTTCATTTTGGTCTTATGACTTTGAGATAGCATGTTTTCAGCAACTGAATGAAGTGGAAAATGCTAATATGAGCTTCTGAGAACCTAAAGATTTTGTTTAAATTCCAGGTTATTTTGGAATGTGAAAGCTACTTGCTGCTTGGATCCATGACAACCATGTAGACACTCTTCACTTTAACAATCTACACCAGCATGGTAAGCCATATTCCAAAGGCTGAGTCTCGGGGTGATTGTGTTGTGCAATAAGCTGGAGTGACTAGGTGTGTAAGGTTTCGTGCTTCTGGCTCAAAGAGAGTAATATAAAAACTATTAAACAACATAAGCAAGAAGCAAGCAGGATATGGCAACATACCTTGATTTAAGAACACTGTTTTACACACCAGACAAGTATTAAGTTTCCCAGAATATCTCAGAAAGGATGTTGCTAAGCAAAGATGATGGTAAAAAGAATACTTAATTAAGATGTCTGAATGCAATTTATAGGGCTAACAGCAATGCTCCAAACTATCACCAGCAAGCAGAAAAGGAAAAATGTCCAAATGCAATGAAAAAAAAGATACTTCAAACTCAAGTTTAAGGACAAATATAGAACGTTTTGTCTACTTTTGGGTAAAAAGCCAGTTGTACACACATCAGAAAGAAGCTGACAATCAAACCAGTTATCATTGGACATGATATAAGGCGTGTGCTGACAACTTACCAGCAGCTGTGACTCCCAGCAGTTCTCCTTTTTTGGCATTTTCATTTCACATTTCTACAGAATTATAGGAATTTCCTAGAGGATTCAAAATAAACAAACAAAACCCAATAATAAATTAAAGGAAACCCCTATGGCTAACCTACTACTTCAGAATTTGTTAAACAGACAAAAGGAATTTACAGCAGTTAAGAATGCACTTGAAAGTTTAGTTGAACAAGCTACCTCCATCCTTTCATAACTGGACCATGGATTTTATTTTTCATTTATTTTCACTGTATGCATAAATGTTTAGGCCATGGCTTACACAAAACAAATAAGGACATCAAGACAGAATTATGCTGCAAGTAAGATTGTTAGAGATCTGAACAAAAATTAAAAGGAGGACTCTTGTAACTAATTAACTAATAATGATACCTATATTTAAAAATAGAATGCAAAAAGAACATAAAATGACCGCAGTAAAAGGTTGCGTAAAAACAGGAACACACCATGACTCATTCTTCATAAGCTTTATTATTCACTTCACATAAAGTACTGATCACACCTTTAACAGATGCACAGAAAGATTCAACCCTTTGCAACAGTATAGTAAGATTGAATAGGGCTATAAATCTTCAGAGTGCAGCACAAACATAAGCTCTGAGAAGGATATGAAATGGTGACATACAGGACAGCTTAAGTGACTTGCTCTAAGGGCACAGAGCAACGCGTGAACCGAGGCGGAATGAATCCCAGGTTCTCCTTAGCAACGAGTCACATCAGATACCCAGGCCACTCAAATTTGCATTTAGGTTTCAATCATATTTCAGGCTTTTAATAGAAAGTCTTCTAAATGTCACCCATGGGTCAGACACTATGCAATGTTGTCCTCTTGAATTTGTAGGCAAACAGCAACCATGAAACTACATATACAGCCAGGGGTACTTCCAAACCTGAAGCTAGATAGTGACATTTTATAAAAACTTGTCAGAGCTTACCCATAAATTATGAAAACTATAACTGCAAAGAATATGTATACAAGGACAGTATAGCAAAAAGAGCAGCAGCAGCAGCAATGAGTATGTTCCTTGTACTGTCCTTGTTGCCTTGTACTTTCCCTCCCCAGCCCCATTGCCTATGGGTGCTGAATTCAGGAATGAACTGCCCTGGCTTAGATCCTAGGAGTGTTCTGCTGAAAGGGATCTCAAGGACAACAAAAACTTCACTCTCTTACAAGAAAAACCTTGCAGGTTTCAAGAATGGTGCAAGCATAACTCTGTGTGGATTTGTTGTTTGTAATATAAGCTACACTGAGATTTTTCAAGTTATCACTCACACAGAGAGATGGTGAGAATCAAAGAAAGCACATGGCCCTATTTCTAAAACCCACAGCAAAATACATTGCCCATTTCACAGAAATGAACTCAACTTGGTGATTCATGGTAATTATAGGCTTGCATGCAGGCACAAATCCTCATGAGCTCACATTTCTCTCACTCCAAGAAATACTGAAAATATTTGTATTTTTAAAGGAGGAAAAGCATCTGCATTGCAGTATTGTTATACTCTAATTCTACAATTATCCCATTAATTTATTTATCTCTTTAGAAATTCTTAATACAAAACACATTGTTGAGCTTTCTATTTAGCTGGAGCACGTCTGAAAGAACAACAGTTTTACCAATATCTAGAATATTATTGCAATGCCAGAGGCATTTCTTAAGTTTCAAAGTTTGGGTGAAATTCTGACAAGCACACATATTTTAATGGATACTGTAAATATCCTGGCTCCCAGAAAGAAAAAGAAAACATAAAACACACAGGAAAGAATGTCCCATAATACTGCATATTTGAAAGTTTTCTAATTTTACTGTTGTTGTTTAAACACTTCACATGAGTCCTAATCCACTGTAGCAAAGCTTATGCTCACTTTAAGCAGGTTAGCATTCCAGTTCAGCTCAAGGGGATGAGCATACTACCCAAGTGATTTATTTGATCACTGTCTAAATTTAAAATTCACAATGGTACCAAGAGGAGGTTGTTCTATTTCCACATTGTTTGCAGTAGACAGTTAATGCCTCAGAGGTACCTTCTTACTTATGTGTGCACGTGAAGAAACCACTTGCAAAGTGTTTTACTCTTGCAGGACCAAGACATTTAAAACAAATCTTTCAAGCAGTCGATGGAGTACAATTGGAAAGGTAGGATTATTTTTTTTTTCTCCTTGTGTAGGTTTAAAAATTACTGGCCATTCACTATTGTAACTTCAGCATTCCACAACATAAACCATCTCTCCCTACGATACTCCACGTACTTTCTAATGACAACACTACACTACTACAAGCATTAGTGACAGAACAGAACTATATTTCTTTCCAACCTGTAAGTTTCCTGATGTGGGAAATAAATGCTTGCCAATTTCCTCTCTGAAGTTTAGAAAAAGACACTGTACAGAAGAAATACAGGAATAAAATATTGAATCAATCTAAGACAGTTAACACAGGTGAAAAATAGCAAGAGAAAATGTGAAAATGCAGGCAAATGGTATGGAAAGAACAAGAAGAATGGAAGGCAAGCAGAGGAAAGAGGGGGATTTGGGAAAAGAGAACTACTTGGAAAACATAAGGATTATTCACTTGGATTGAGAGGGAGAGCACACTGACATCTAACACTTTCCCTATAAAAAGCTGCAGGTTGTGCTATTAAATGGTCAAACACAAAAGCACAACTTCCTGATTATGTTAAGAAATCTACTTGGTCAATGTGTTGAATTTTGGGAGGGATTCTGTTTTGCTTGGTGGTTTTTTGGTGCTGGTTTCTTTTTTATGGGAGCAAGGGTGTAGTTTTTGCTGGGTTAGGGTTTTTTTACTTTTGTTTTTACAAAAGAGAATCATTGACTCATTCTAACTGCTTATGGCTTTATCCAATTTTCTTGGTTTTAAGAGAGGCTGATGTTCTGAGCACAAAAACAATACCACCACAATACCTGCCCCTAGCAATATTTCATATGATATAAGCAAATCAGAAGCATCTGAAGTATTCAGGACAAGATGGGCACACTAAGCTACAGCTGAATACCAGAGCTGAGATCACATATCCTGCCTGGCCTAAATCCTGCCCAAACACATATACACACAACACTCCAATCCTGTATTTGAAGCAATCTCCATGGACATCCAAGTCTATTTTCAGAATATTGCTCCCTGAAGTAAAAATGTATGGCATACTTAAAGGATAAAGGCCTGCTAAACTCCAGAAGTATCTCTTCATACCTTCTTCCTGAGACTCAACAGGGAAAAAACAAACAATCAAAGAAGCACTGAGCCTTTCCATAGAACTGATGTGCAACCAAGAGTTTTCGATAAAATAGAATGACAGGATTATTGCTTAGACTTCATTGCTGATTTCCTAAGTTTTATTTTCATATTTTAACTTACAAGAATTTCACAGTATCTAAAACATATGAGATCTCCACCTCTCTCTCCTTTTCCATCTTACTCTGTTCACCAACGTCACCTAAAGATTCAAAGTCTTTCAACAGCGTAATTTAAAGGTTCTGTTATCTTTGGCCCCAAATTTCTGCAGAAGGCCAATAAATTATTTTTGCACAGAACTCACAGGCAACAGCTTCCAGCAGATGGGCCAAAAAAGAGCTTGATTTCAGAGTGTACAGCATGCTGCTAGTGAGTGGCACTGTCTGGCAATGTACATGGCACAACCACAGAATCATGGAATAAGCTGAGTAGGAAGGGCTCCACAAGGATCATCGAGGCCAACTCCTGGCCCTGCACCATCCCCAGGAGTCACACCGTGTGCCCAAGAGCATTGTCCAAATGCTTCTTGAACACTCGGTGTTGTGACCTCTTCCCCAGGGCGCCCGTTCCAGGGCCCAAACACTCTCTGGGTAAAGAACCTTGCCCTAATATCCAACCTAAACCTCCCCTGAAACAACTCCAGACCATTCCCTTGGGTCCTGTCACTGGTCACCACAGAGGAAAGATCAGTGTCTGCTCCTCTTCTTTCCCTCACAAGGAAGTTGTAGACTGCAGTTAAGTCTCCCCTCAGCCTCCTCCAGGCTGAACAGAACAAATGGCCTCAGAATATACTTAGGAAGCATTCTGACTTGTCAATTTTTTCTCACAGACTAAATCCTACAGCAGTAATGCTGTAGCTTTCATGCTCACTGTCTGACATTTTCAGTTTTTCGAATTAAGATCCCCAGCTCAGTTTGACCCTCAGTGTCTAAGACACATTCACGCTATCAAAATCATGTCCTTGATGGCATGCTCTCAAGCAGGCTGCTCAAGCCTGCCATTGGGAGAAAAGGAAAGTATAAGCAAGGGAACTTTGTGAATTGTAGACCCACGGCAGCACCATCTCAAGATCCAATTCTAGAGTTGTTTTTATGTTAAATGTTTTAAAAAGACATTGGATACAACCAAGGATTTTCAGGTGAAGGGCTGGAGCCCAGAACCCATCCTTGGAAGTGCACAGTTTTACAGAATCACATAGAGAGACTTTAGCCTCTCAAGAAAAATGACATTTCAGACACAGTCCTTCTGTTACATAAAAATTGGCTATAACTAATTTGAGGCTCTACTTGTGTTGCCAAACACAGATCCCCACTCAGGCCTAGCCTAACACAATTACTGACTCAAATATAGCTCCTCTGCTGATTGCTTTTCTCACATTTACATGACCATCTGCTTCCCATTTTTGCCTTGTCACACATTTAGACCATGAATCCCTTGGGAAGGAGCACATTTCTATGTTTGCCTCTATACAATATGGGACTAAACAGGACTCAGGGTTTTAGGCCCCACTATTAAACAAGCTATTATACTTTATGGGACTGATAATTTTAAAATACAGGAAACATAAACTTCAGTAATTTAAACACTAGACTGCGTAAGTTTGGAAAAACCAAATGTAGAAAACAAGCTTAGCTGAAGAGGAAATGAATGGGTTTATGCAACCAGCTATATTTGGTTTTCCTTTATGCAAACTGGCTAATGATTGTGAGAGTTGTACCCTTTTCCCCACTCTTCCTTTTACTCCTTAAAAATAAAACAATCATTTTGTATGGTAAATACTGGGGGTAGGGAAATGTTCCGTGACCTAGTGCGGTGAATGATGACGAACTAGTCAGAGAGAATGTATTTCCTCTTAAGCATCTTATAAATATTTTAAATCAATTGCAAAGAGCATAACAGGAAAAAAAATATATGTTCAGATCATCTCCAAATTGTAGCCCTTGTATCCTCTAGGACACTCTGCTACAGCAATAACACCTCACAAAAAGGTCCATCTTCCATGTGAGCTGGCCTTACTCCCTCAAGTGTTTATAAAATAGTTGACAGCTACCAAAGATAGTAGCCAGTGAATTAAATAGTACAAGAATGTCTGCTTAAAAACAAAACAAAACAAAGGAAAAACTAACTAACTAAAAACAGAACAAAACCAACAACAACAACACAAACCCCAAAACTGTCAAGGTAGAAATAAGAATCTACTATGAGAATAAAACATGGCACTTCATGCTGACTAATACAGTCAGGAAGCCACCAGGAGGAAGTGGAAGATCTGGCTGACCTTACTGGTTTGAAAAGAAGGACATTTTGAGGAGGAGCCGAGCAGGATTTAACATAGCTATGCATATTATTATCAGCTTACACAATGACCAACAGTTACAAATCGACATAGAACACCTTTTGTAAAACTGATAGCATCTGCCTTTCCTTGCGTTCCCCTTCAGCAAACACACATGCAAACAAGTGCAGGTGTGCTCAAGCAGTACTGGTAACACCCAAACTTCCCTGCCTTGAGACCTGCCCACTGCTGCCTCTTAGTTTGATGCAAAACAGCTGCATGGAAAAGCAAGAACGTGAAGGGGCAATGTGGGAGCAGAAAACCTGTCAGCTAGATGCCTGGAGGTATGGGAAGAGAGCAGCTGTAAAGAAGTGGAGCAGTTTCTAATGCTGCATTTGCCTCAATCCAGGTACTCCCCATTCCGGCTGAAGTATTCACACAGGCACATAACAATTAGCAGGTACTGCCATTGCCAACTATGCTGGTATAGCTTCGTGGCAGTACAGCTACACATATGTAAGATAATTAGCATGTATTTTTCTATTATAAGCAGAGCAGACTAAATCTGACCTTTCTCTGCATTTTGAGAAAACAAATGTAGCCAGATATTTCCACTACTCTGTCCATCCTGACTGCCAAAGTAGCTTCCCATCAGATTGCAGCCAGACATCACGCTGGCAGGATGTGCTGAGAAATGTCACAGCATGCACCCACAATTTGGGGGCATGACTGACCCCTGCACAGTAGACACACCTCTCAGCTAGGAGACTGTACTCTAGCTTGGATGGCATTATGAACAATCCAAAGATATAATACACAATTTATTCTATTATAGTACTATTTCATGTACATGGCAGTTAGAGTTGACTGCTACTGTTGTGATCCTGGAACTGCATATTTTTGGAATTGCATTTTTTTAACTGTTACTATTGCAAATTTCCTGGATAAACACTTAATATATGTATACCTTTTCAGATAACACAAATAAAGGTTAAAATCATGACAGAATACTGGTTATTTGGTGAGTAGGCCATACTTAGGTGATTAGCTATGCCATATGGATGGTTCATCTGGCAAGTACAGTGTTTGTTATTTGAGTATTTGATATTGATAGAATCATAACAGGCTTGGTTTGGAAGGGACTTTAAGGACGACGTAGTTCCAATCCCCCTGCCATGGGCAGGGATACCACCCACTAGACCAGGTTGCTCAGGACTCCATCCAGCCTGAACACTTGGGGAAATGGGGCATCCACAGCTTCTCTAGGCAACCTTTCCAGTGCCTCACTACTCTCTGGGTAAAGAACTTCTTCCCAACATCTCATTTCTCCTTTTTCAGTGTAAAACCATTCTGTCCTGTCCCATCACTATCTACCTGTATAAAAAGTTGCTCTCCTTCATTTTTATAAGCCCCCTTTAAGTACTGGAAGGCCACAACAAGGTCTCCACAGAGCCCTTTCTTTTCCAGGCTGAACAACTCCAGCTTTTGTAGCGTGTCTTCAGAGGAGAGGTTCTCCAACCCTCTGAACCTTTAAATCACTTTCTTTTTAATCTCCTGAAAAGTGTGGGATTCTGCTAATTAGAAACAATTCTGCTGAAGTGTCACTTAGTTT